TCTAGCTGCAACCCATCGCTGGGAAACATCCATACATCCTTATTCACAATCATACACTACGGACAATTTAGCCCACCCAATTCACCTGTACCACGTCTGTGGACTGTGGGGGAAACTGGAGCACCCGGAGGAAACCCACACAAATGCGGGGAGAACATGCACACAGAAACGCCAACTGACTCAGCTAAGGCTCGAACCAGCGACCTTCTTGCTGTGAGGCGACAGCACCACCTACTGCACCACAGTGTCGCCTAAGCAAATCTGCATGTTTCCACCCAGGTTTTAACAGGAGACCTTTCGCTTGTAAAGCCATTGTGATAACAGAAGCCTTTGGTCGGGGTGTGAGCACCATCTTGTGGTGCCATCGCAGAGCGGCTGTGTTCAAAATGGCATAAATGTTTTCAAAGTGCACTGCGAAGTGAACGCAGTTGTCAATAGAAAGATTGTTAAAACTGAACTGTGAAAATACTTTAACTGCAAATTACACCAAAGAGAGCTGACCTTAGTGCTTTTTTCTTTAAATCATTCCAAGTTTAAATGTTAGAATGTTTTAAATGAATAGGGCACAGGGGGTATAACTTGGATTAGAACACAGCCAGAAACAATGTTTCTAACTACAGCTGTGGAGGTTCGGGACGCAGTTTGTAAACGTTTGTTGGAACGACGGATTTGGGAAACGCCAAATCTACTAAAATACAACGGAATTTAGTTAGCTAATGATGGTTGTCAGAAATGCACCCCCGGAGGGTTTAGTGCAGATAATTGGGGTTAAAATTAGTCATCATTGATTCCGTCTTAAGGCCCTGCTATAAATCAAATAACTTTCAAATTAAGTTATTGTTTTAGACATCATTTGAGGGCAAAATGAAGGGACAGTATACTGTTTTTGAACACTCCAACACCTCTTCGGTGTAGTGGGGGGGGGGGGGTTGTAAATGAGTCCCGCTGCTTGCATGTACCCCTAAACGCAACAATAATGTCTGAAAGAGAAAAACAGTTTCATAAACATCTAGAGGTGTGAACTTACACTGGTCTCACGGTTCGGTTGCGATTATCATGCCATCGATTCGGTTCAATTCGATATCTCGGTGCATTACGGTGCATTGACGAAGCTTTCCATACAAAGTTTTATGTTTTCTCACACAGCAATTCTTGTAATAAAATGTATAAATATATTTCTGTTTATATTAGGGCTGTCAAAATTAGCACGTTAACACATGTAAATAATTAGATATATTTAACGCGTTAAAAAAGATTTACGCAATTAACGCAGTTGCAGTTTCTTTATTTCCTGTTGTGGCCGACTTGTGTTTTACGAGCAAAAAATATATGGATAAGGCCAAGCAAGCGCTTCAGAGTTTCATGTAATTTTGGGTGTTTCATATTGTTAGGACTGCTGGAAGAGTGCTGTTTTAAAGAGCCCATATTATACATGAAATAGGGTCATATCTTGGTTGTAAGGGTCTTGACTGATTTCTATTAGAATCTTGTGCCCATGCGGGTTCCAGTAGGTCTTCTGCATTATTTGTGAAGATTGGGATGCAGCTCAACACATTATTCATCAAAAAAATCTACCTTCTGACACTTTTCCAAATGATTAACTAGAAGTCAAGTTATTATTTATTGCTCTTACAACTGGACACGACGGCAAGACATTTATCAGGTAGTTTATATATAAGTACTAGGATGGCAATATGGCGAATATAGGATATCCAGATTACATTCATATACTATTCAAATGTAAACCATATAGTGCTGTTTTAAAGTTAAGATGTTGCACAGTAATTCCTGCTACTTACTTTAACTTTGTTGTAGTTCATTTTATTACATTACATAAGACGTCCTTCTCATGTCCTTCTCTATTAACAATAAAATAGGTTGTTATAAACTTATTCCACCAGCATTATTACATAATTATCAGGGTGGCTAAAGCAGCTTGTCTAGGATTTATATGTCCCATTATGATGTATGGAAATAGAATCCAATGATCCAAGTGAAATTAAAAAGAGCTATTTTTTTGTGAGGCTGCACCATATGACCTAGTTGGTTCAAGACTGGGGGCACTGTTAAATTTAGCAGGCCTGATTTACAGCGTGTGACCTAACACTAGACAGCACTGGCTCAGGCTTTAGATGCTGAAAGTCTTGAGCTGATGTGGGCTTTTTTGATAAATCACACCATGCTTACACCATGCTTTGTGTTTTTCTTCAATGGCGAGCAAATGGTGAGCAAACGTTACTCGTTACTTAAACGTTAAACGTCAATTTACTCACCTTTATAAAGTCAACTAATCGCTTTAAATGCAACAGTTTTACTCACTTTTATAAAGTAAAGTCAACTAATCGCTTTAAAAGCAACAAATTTACTCATGTTTATAAAGTAAAGTCAACTAATCGCTTTAAAAACAGCAAATTTACTCACTTTTATAAAGTAAAGTCAACTAATCACTTTAAAAGCAACAAATTTACTCATGTTTATAAAGTAAAGTCAACTAATCGCTTTAAAAGCAACAAATTTACTCACGTCTATAAAGTAAAGTCAACTAATCGCTTTAAAAGCAACAAATTTACTCATGTTTATAAAGTAAAGTCAACTAATCGCTTTAAAAGCAACAAATTTACTCACGTTTATAAAGTAAAGTCAACTAATCGCTTTAAAGCAGGTCGCACACCAGAAGCGCCGCTCGGCGGCGCGCCGCGCAGCGCCACGCCGCGCCACGCCGCGCCATGCATTTTAGAATTCTAAACATAGGTTTCTATCAGGATACACACACCGGCGCCGCAAGTCGGCGGCTGTCGGCGGCGCCCGGCGACGGCTCAGGACGCAGTTCATTTTTCAGCCGCGCCACAGAGCGCCATCTGATTATTTTCATGTTAAATATCATTCGAATGTGCGCGTCTGGTGTGTGATACCTTAAACTGTCATGTACGCGCCGTGTCGCGGCGCGAGCGGCGCTTCTGGTGTGCGACCTGCTTAAAAGCAACAAATTTACTCACGTTTATAAAGTAAAGTCAACTAATCGCTTTAAAAGCAACAAATTTACTCACGTTTATAAAGTAAAGTCGACTAATCGCTTTAAAAACAGCAAATTTACTCACTTTTATAAAGTAAAGTCGACTAATCGCTTTAAAAGCAACAGTTTTACTCACTTTTATAAAGTAAAGTCGACTAATCGCTTTAAAAGCAACAGGTTTACTCACGTTTATAAAGTAAAGTCGACTAATCGCTTTAAAAGCAACAGGTTTACTCACGTTTATAAAGTAAAGTCAACTAATCGCTTTAAAAGCAACAAATTTACTCACGTTTATAAAGTAAAGTCAACTAATCGCTTTAAAAGCAACAAATTTACTCACGTTTATAAAGTAAAGTCAACTAATCGCTTTAAAAGCAACAAATTTACTCACGTTTATAAAGTAAAGTCAACTAATCGCTTTAAAAACAGCAAATTTACTCACTTTTATAAAGTAAAGTCAACTAATCGCTTTAAAAGCAACAAATTTACTAACGTTTATAAAGTCGACTAATCGCTTTAAAAGCAACAGGTTTACTCACTTTATAAAGTAAAGTCAACTAATCGCTTTAAAATCAAGTTTTACTCACTTTTATAAAGTAAAGTCGACTAATCGCTTTAAAAGCAACAGTTTTACTCACTTTTATAAAGTAAAGTCGACTAATCGCTTTGAAAGCAACAAGTTTACTCACTTTATAAAGTAAAGTCAACTAATCGCTTTAAAAGCAACAGGTTTACTCACTTTTATAAAGTAAAGTCGACTAATCGCTTTAAAAGCAACAGGTTTACTCACGTTTATAAAGTAAAGTCAACTCATCGCTTTAAAAGCAACAGGTTTACTCACTTTTATAAAGTAAAGTCAACTAATCGCTTTAAAAGCAACAGGTTTACTCACTTTATAAAGTAAAGTCAACTAATCACTTTAAAAGCAACAGATTTACTCACTTTTATAAAGTAAAGTCGACTAATCGCTTTAAAAGCAACAGGTTTGCTCACTTTAATAAAGTAAAGTCGACTAATCCCTTTAAAAGCAACAGATTTACTCCCTTTTATAACGTAAGTCGACTAATCGCTTTAAAAGCAACAGATTTACTCCCTTTTATAACGTAAAGTCGACTAATCGCTTTAAAAGCAAAAGATTTACTCACTTTTATAAAGTAAAGTCAACTAATCGCTTTAAAAGCAACAGGTTTACTCCCTTTTATAAAGTAAAGTCAACTAATCGCTTTAAAAGCAACAGGTTTACTCATTTTTATAAAGTCGACTAATCGCTTTAAAATCAACAGATTTATTTACTTTATAAAGTAAAGTCGACTAATCGCTTTAAAAGCAACAGATTTACTCCCTTTTATAACGTAAAGTCGACTAATCGCTTTAAAAGCAACAGGTTTACTCACTTTAATAAAGTAAAGTCGACTAATCGCTTTAAAAGCAACAGGTTTACTCACTTTATAAAGTAAAGTCGACTAATCGCTTTAAAAGCAACAGGTTTTCTCCCTTTATAAAGTAAACTCAACTCATTCCTTTAATATTTAAACTAACATTTTTTTGACTGTTCATTTGTTGTAAAGGAATTCTCCTGTAATGACCATGAAAACAACCAAAGCGTCTCTGATATATGCCAAGTGTTCTGCAACGTCAAGCCTAAGCTGTGTGGACATCCAAAACCTGCTGATCAACATGATTCGTAGCACACTGAAATATTATAAAAAGACCACACGTCTCTAGTGAAGCTCCAGTCATAAAACGCTCATTCCCTTCAGCTGTCGCTGTGTTCAGTCAAACCATTGGCTCATTTGTGAGGTAAACACTGTGTTTTTTTCAATAGAGACCCAGCAAGAGGACATTCATAGATGTTTACAGGAAGGTGGAGTCCAAGCTTGACGTGCATGTTAAAGTACAGCAGGAGGAGTAACACCGCAGTCACTCGATACAGGGGGCTGACATCCCAAAAATAACCCTACAGAGTGTATATAGGAGACCCGCTTTCAGACGTACAGCCAGAAGACCACACAAGCAAATCAACTCACCTCAGGACAAAATCAAACACGTCCCCACTTGGAACAGTGATTATTTCGTGGATTGTGATTCTGAAACTTTTTCAGGACATTGTGAATCTGAAGTGAAAGTCCAAGATCTTAGAACCCTCCAAAAAGGATTGTAATTTCTTTTTCCCGCTCTTTTTTTGTCCTCCTCTTGAAAGGGGGAGGCAAAACCGTGGCGTCTGCAGGAATGAAGTACAGCTACCAGTACCCGGTGTCGCAGTACACACGCCCGCATTACACCAGCAGCACACAATACACACCGTCACACTACTCCAGCAGCTCGTACTCGCCTAGTTACTACAGCTCCTCAAAGTATAGCCCTACTACATTGCACACTAGAAAATACTACACACCGCCAGCCTACACTCCTGCCTACAAGCCCACATACACCTCCGTCTGTAGCAAAACATCCCGCCCGAGCAGCTCACCCCGGACTGCAGTACAAATTACTCCTTCTGTGACCCTCAAACCCGCCCGGGCCGTGCGCTTCACAAACGATGTGGTTTTCCAGGATTTAGTCCGGCACAGTGAACTGGAGCAGATCGGGAGGTTTATGAGGGCCAGGAAAGTGCGTCTGGATACCATCTTCCATTCTGGTAAGGTTACTGTTTGGTTTTTGAAGATATATTTTTAGTATTTGGGTAACATCTTCAGTTCTGGTAGGCCTGCTTGTGTTCAAGGGTTGCACGTCATGACTTTGCCAAGTACGATGCGATCCTGGATTAACATCTATGTTGATCTTGGAACATCATTTTTGTTGTAGGTGTAATCCATACCTATTCCATACCCCCATAAACCCAACCAAAACTGTACATTATTCCCAAAATCAAGAGGGAATAATGGTTAACAATCACGTAGAAGTGCATAAACCAAACCTGCCAACATTTGTCTCTGAAACTCCAGATACTGGGAGGTTGGGGACATTGTAGTGGCGGCGGTGTGTTTGAAGAACACAGCTGAGAACCAGGTTAGTTACTGTACTGTAGTGTTAGTAACCGTACTATGGACTTGGTTTCAAGCGGCCGCTGCGATTGCATACTACACCAAAGTTGGCTAACCGGGGATGTTACAGACTGTACCAAAAACCTGAGAATCAGGGTTGGGGTGAACATAAGGGGAGATTTCCCAGAGAAATAACAAAACGGGAGGGTGGCGGGACACTGTAAAAAGTGCAGGGTTCCACACAATTCATTCACGTTGTCCCAACACAAATCGATAAAGTTAGCTTAACACTTTTGACAAATTTATGTTTATTGAACATAAAAAAATTAGTTGTCCCAATGAAATCTCAATAATTGTGTTGTTTCAGCTCATTTTTATTAAGTAGTTTGGACAAGTAAAAAAAAGTACAAAAATCTGAGTGGAAATGGTTTCTGAAATGCTCCCGGGAAAAACAGGAGTGTTGGCAGGTATGGCATAAACCTAACCATAAGTCTAATCTTAACATAAATGGTAAACATATCCCTTAATTCTGATTAAATCTGATTGGGATGATCAACATAGATGTTGATCCAGGAATGTGTCCTACTAAGTGAAATCAGGTTAGGGTCAAAGGTTACACTGCAATAAATGCTTTTCATGCTTTTATTCAATGGTTAATGCATACCTGCCAACACTCCCGTTTTTCCTGGGAGTCTCCCATATTTTAGCCCCATCTCCTGCCACCCACCCATTTTGTTATTTTTAACAGAAAAATTCCCCCCTCCCCAAAAAAAGGTCTTGTTTTAAGAATTATATGCCAAAATTAAATGGGTTTTTTCTTAAAACAAGCTAAATTATCAATGACAATAACAATAGGGTGCACACTGACAGATTATTTAACTTGTTTTATGGAAAAACTTAATTTTTTCCGCTTAATTTTGACTTTTTTCTTAAAACACGACAACACGTTTTGCTTGTCTTAAAAATGTTTCTTGATTCAAGAATTTTTAGATATTTAGATATTATAAGAAACTTAAGTAATTATGGTTAAGACTGCCTTTTTTGTTGTTGAACGTACGTGAAATTATATATTTGATTTTTTTCTTTTTTAAATATTTCCCAAATGATGCTTAACAGAACAAGGAAATTTTCACAGTATGTCTGATAATATTTTTTTAATCTGGAGAAAGTCTTATTTGTTTTATTGCAGCTAAAATAAAAGCTTTTTTTTAATCCTTTTTAGAGAGAAAATTATTAGCCCCTTTAAGCATTTTTTTTCAATAGTCTACAAAACAAACAACTGTTATATCTTGCCAAATTACCCTAACCTGCCTAGTTAACCTTATTAACCTAGTTAAGCCTTTAAATGTCACTTTAAGCTGTATAGAAGTGTCTTATATCTAGTCTAATATTATTTACTGTCATCATGGCAAAGATAAAATAATTCAGTTATTAAAAATGAGTTATTAAAACTATTATGTTTAGAAATGTGCTGAAAAAATCTCTCTGTTAAACAGAAATTGGGGGGAAAAATAAACCGGCGGGGCTAATAATTCTGACTTCAACTGTGTATACATATATATGCAAATTTATAGCATGCAAGTCATAATCATAAATTGGACATTTGGGGTAACTTTAAGGCACATTATCACAGTTTTGAAGAGTGGCACAATAATTATGATGAATGAAATATAATCAGCATATAGGACATTTGCAGAACTTTTCTAAATGGAAATAAACAATGGATGTTCAAAAGTTGGTTTCATATATAACCAGTATTTAGCCAATCAATTTGCATAATCTAAATCAAAATTTAAACAAAAACAATTATTTTTGTTGTTTTCGTTATTGTTTTGTAGATACACATTTTTATTTTTCAGAAATCTTTCTCCAAGATTTTTTGTCTATTCCAAAGTTGATAACACTGATAAAACAGTAATGAAAATGTACAATAAGTCAAATGTTTGCCAAAGAAATGATTGCTGTTAACTGTTAACAGTAATTTTCATCCAAGAAAACAGATAGCTTTGTATATATTTGGACCATTCATTTTGCACACTGAAGGCCTGAAAATGCAATCACCAAGCAGAATATAGGGTTTTTAGTCATTTCAGCATGTGAACCAGACATTTTTGACCATGTTTGAACATTTTTGTTGTTAAAAACGCACTTCAGAAGTTCATTCCTAATATATTCTTTGCATTTTTAACAGTTTTCCTTCGACTTTTATAATTTTTGGTTAAATAACCAATATCCAATATCCAAGTGATTGGATTAAATCATTCTCTGTAAACGATTGCCTATGGAGCAATGGCGGAAACATTTAAGTGAAGTATTTCTACAATTGTATACAGCAAATGAGCAGTTCACCTTAACATTAATGTCTTAAGTTTCTTGGAAAGGACAAAACGAGTTTGCTTTGGGATTATTTTATTTAGTGGTGCATGATCACCCACTTAAAGGGATAGTTCACCTAAAAATGAAACTGTGAGTAATTTACTCATCCGCAGTCATCCAAGATGATGAATGTTTGTCTTCAGTAGAACATTAAATTGGATTTTGAGTTTTAATGAGTGTTTTTTAGTGATTAAGATTAGGAATAAACACAAAGAATAAAGTCCAAATCAGTAGCCATGGCTCAGGATGATACACTATGATGTCTTAAGAAGCAAAACCATCACTCAGTGTAAGAAATTGAACATTATTTACATTATTATTAGCTTTAATCCACAGCCTGGTCTAACAGATATTGCCACATGTCAGAATGTAGTCCGATTGTAGTCTGTTTGTTAACGACAAAAACACAAGGGCTAGTGATTGGACAGGTGACACAGTTTGTTGATGATATTGTTGATGATTTGTTGATGATATTAATCAACAAACGGACTACAATCGGACAACATTCACGCATCTGTTTGACCGATGGATTAAAGCTAATGATATTGTAAATGTTCAGTTTCTTACACACAGCGATCGTTTCACTTCACAAGACCTCAATGTGTCATTAGGAGCCACATGCATTGATTTAGACTTGTTTATAGTGTTTATTTTTAATATAAAAAGGCATGCAACCATTATATGAATCCCTAAGAACCACAGATTCAGCTTAAAATCTTCTTAAATGTTCTCCTGCAGAATAAAAGTCCTACTTATTTGGTGAATAAATTACTCACATTTTCATTTTTAGTTAAACAATCCCTTTAACTTTGTAAATAGACATATTAAAAAATAATCAATGCTTATACGGCATGTGTTTAAGGTTTAGTGTGTTTTCTGGAAAAGTTTACTATTTGAAAGCCAGCCTGATCTCACGAGAAAACGTAAGTATTTTACGTCTTGCCAGTTTAGTGGCTAATTCGTACGAATTCGTACAAGTTCAGTCATATGAAAATGTACGATTTTAAAAAGGAGGTGTGGCACCTAACCCCACCCCTAAACCCAACCGTCATTGGGGGATGAGCAAATCGTACTAAATTGTACGTATTAGATCGTACGAATTCATACGAATTAGCCACTAAATCAAAAAGTTACGAATTGTCGTGAGATTGTGTTGTTGAAAACTGAGCAGTACACCCTAATAAGCATTGGCTTTTTTTCTTAGGAATGGCAGCGCTTCATGAAGCCGTGCTCTCGGGAAGCCTGGAGTGTGTGAAGCTCCTGATAAAATACGGCGCCGATGTTCATCAGAGAGACGAAAACGGCTGGACACCACTGCATATGGCCTGCAGCGACGGATACCCCGAGATCGCAAAGTAAGTGCATGTTTGTTCACTCGCACTCATGCAAAATACTTAAAATCAGGATGCATTTTCTAGACAAGCAATAAAAATGGTCTTGTTTTTAGAAATAGTAAGTCGAAATTAAGAGTTCAAAAGCGCTAAAATGTTTTTTTTATTTTGATATTTTTGACTGGCATACAAAAACAATTAATAAGTAATACAGAACTAAACATCAACGTTCACTATTGCATAAATTGGTATACTTTATATAAATGGCAACTTAAAAAAATGATAACCAGAAGAAAATATATACTGTTACAGTGGAGCAGGCAAAAGAAGACAATTGGGAGAAGTGGATCAAACTATTTACCTTTTACCAATTATCTGTACAAATGAAGTAAATATTAACAAAATAAGGATAAATAAACTTAATGGTAGAGAAAACATAACAGCTAAGCATAAGCAGCAAAATCAATAATGGATATGGAACTGATAAACCTGAAGGCATATACTAAGCTGACAAGAAACTAAACAAGACACAGGTGAACATAATCAATGAACCAATGAGCACTGCGGCTGTACGCATTTCCGAGACAATAGTTGTAAAATTACACTACAAAGATGAACTTAAGTCCTTTCAATGCATATAAAACAGTTCAACTTGATTGATTAATTACTTAATGTTCCAAAAAGGACTTTTAAAAGTTTAGTTTACTTTTCATTCCACAAAAGATTTTTTTATAGTGGGAAAAGGTTCCTAAGTTGATACTATTAAAATTTTTGTGATCTATCTATACTGATAAAAGTATAATGTCAATAAAAAATAAAGAGATAAAGTAAAATAAAGTAAAAGATAGACAAATAACAGCTAAGCATAAAAGAAATCAATAATGGATAAGGAACTGAAAACCTGAGGGCATGTATTAGTTGACAACATAATAAACAAGACACAGGTGAACATAGTCAATGAACCAATGACCAATGCAGCTGTACACGTGTTTAGAAGACAATAGTGGTAAAATACACTACAAAAAAATAGGTCCATCCAATCAGTTTGAATATTAAAAAAAAGTTTTCATTCCACAAATGGTTGATTTTAGTGGGAAAAGGTCATTAATGTTCTCCAGAAAACCAAAAAAAGTTTCTTCTATTGCATCCATTTGCGTCAATTTTGGCAAAAGAAAAAAAAAAGTCATAATTTTTCATTTCTGCGAATTGAGAATTTACTTAAAATCTGCATTAATATGCCTTCATTTAACTGAGAAACAACTGTTTGAAAATCTGGAACCTGAGGGTTTAAATACTGAGAAAATCAGCTTTAAAGTTTAACAAAAGAAGGTCTAAGCTAATAAAAAAATTGTTTGGTATATTTACAGTGGGAAATTTACTAAATGTATTCACGAAAATTGATTATTACTTAATATTTGAATGATACATTTTGTTGTCCACACTGTAAAAAAAACTATTGTAGCCTTCATTTTTATATAATTTATTTCATCATTTATTTATCAGCTTATATTAACCAAATTAACTAAAAATATTAAGTTAAACTTTGCATAGCTTAAATGTAGTTGGAACCTGATTTACATATTAAAATAGGTTAAAGTAACATAAAAGCATTTGTAGTCATGACTTTTGAAATAGCATATTGACAGTGCTGAAAACCCACTATATTCTAAAAATTGGAAAAAATAAATTACTATTAATAATAAATTGCCTTTTACATCAATAAAGTGTCTGAAAAGAATTACATTTACTTCACATTATTTAAAATGATTTATTAAAAAATGACTTTTGCTGCTTGTTCAAACCACTTATTTAATTTGAGTTGAACAAACACAATTCTTAAGGTTTTTAGGTGGACAACTTAATTGTTTTCTGTTCAATCCACATAAATTTGTAAAAAAAAATAATAATAAAATAAAAATAATTAACTTAATCGATTTGTGTTGGGACAACATGAAGCATTTGTGTGGAAGCCAGCATCTTTATCTGAGGGTCCAGGGTTCAAGTACCTGTTCGGGCGCCATTTCTGTAACGGTGGTCACAATATATATTGTTTTCACAGTTTGCTGTGTCTTAAAATGCAAACCCTGCTTTTCTCCTCCAGATATCTGCTGTCTCTGGGTGCCAGTGTGGAGGCAGAAAATGAAAACGGTGAAAAGCCAGCAGACCTCATCGACCCGGACTGCAAAGAGCTGCTCAAACTCTTTGAAACCGGCTGTGTCTGAGCACCGACCCGCACAAAAACAGGACAAAGCAAGCTTTCAGAAGACCATCCCATCTTCACATTTAGTGTGGTTAAACTCTCTCTCTCTCCTGAATATTCTTTATTTTTCTTGTTTTTTTTATTTTTTGGCTGCTCTACGTGACTTTATTATTATACAGTGCAGAGGATCAATATATTATTATTGTTATTGCTTTTGGCGTCTACGAGAAAACACGGTTTATATCTGTAAACTAATCGTAAGTGAAACGTGAGGATAAATGAACGATGGGACTTTGGGGGATTGAATGATGAAGTGTAAGTGGACTCGGAAGGTTTGAGGTGAGGAAAAAAAAGTCGAAATGATTACAGACTAAAGCAGGGATGTCAAACTCAGTTACTGGAGGGCCACAGTCCTGCACAGTTTAGTTCCAACCCTAATTAAACACACTTGATTAAACTAATTGAGTCCTTCAGGCTTGTTTGAAACCTACAGGTAAGGGTGTCAAAGCAGGGTTGGAACTAAACTGTGCAGGGCTGCGGCCCTCCAGGAACTGAGTTTGACACCCCTGCACTAAAGGAAAGTTGTATTTGGATAAAAGATGAGCATTTCTCTCTGTACAAACCAGCATACTTCAGTGTTTACTGATAGATCCTATATGTCAGGGGTCTCCAACTTAATAGTAGGCTAATAGTAGCCTAGTTATATTAAATATATCTGTAAATTAGCAATTTTCCAAATTTTGTGATTCGTGTTTTTATGTATTTTCCCCATTTATTTCTGCTTTTGAATTGCATTATGCCATCTTATTCTTTCTTCCAGCAACTTTTAACCTTGAAAAGGTGATAAAAGTGACTTTTATGAGCAATTTTAATAGTTTAAAGTGATAAATTGTCTGGGTTGGTGTTGTATTTCATGCTACAAAAACCTGATAATAAACTGGCAGCACATTTTCTGTTATCTGACCTGCTTTATATTATTTCAAACGACTAAAATGTCAACAATGTTAAACTGTACAGTGTAATATTCAACATCAAAAGTCAACAGAGCTGTGATCAACATCCCATAATGCAATTCACAACCATAAAACAACAGACGACACAAAATACGGGAACTGATCATTAACAGATTTCTTTTTTTTCAGTTCCTTGAGAAACAGAATATTAAATGAGAAAACAGTGGGCGTGGATAAATCAAGTAGTAGTAGTAGTAGTAAAATAGGCATTTCATTCAGAAAGATGGGGTAAAAGGTTCGAGGAGAGTTATTACAACCTAACAAACTCCTCCTGCTCACCATTTCTGTTTGTTGTCAAAACTGACAGCTGGAGGGGCGTGGTTAATTATGTTAGCCACACCCACTCAGACACTCAGACAGACCTTTAACTGAAGTTAACTGAATGTAACTGAAAACAAACAGGAAGTGCATTTTTTGATTTTTCATTTATTTTACAAAGGCAAACATTTCTTTTCCATAATGAGAATAAACTAAACAAGACACAGGTGAACATAATCAAATGAATTGTTCACCACAAATCCAGCGATGTGAGCTAACGAAATCAACATGGTTGGTTTTGATTTCATGTGTACTGTTAAGGGTGACAATATATTTACGTGGATGGTATATTTGAAAGACTGAGTAACAGTAACTTGAGTAGCTCTCTGCTACTTTTAGGTGTTCATAAGTAACTCTCTTATGAAATAATGTTGGAGATCCCTGCTCTATGCGTTCATTTTGGGCTTTTCCTGCCATTTTGACTTATGATTATTAATGTTTTTTTTTTTACAATTCAGAAAAGTGTCTTTTATGTGACAAGGGACAAAGTCCTGTTGAAGCAGAGCGACGCCTGAAGAGAGAGTTGTGTTGTTTTTGTGTTGTATTGTATTGTATTATATTGTGTTGTCCCAGTAGATACAGGATATCAACTTGACATCAGATTGACGTTGTACTCCAATGTTGTGGGAATGTTGCATTTTGTTTGGAACCCGACGTTAATGTCCAACCTAAAATCAACCAAATATTAATGTCTAATGATGTTACAGCCTGACGTTGTGTGGACGTTACCACTACGGCGACTATCAGACATTGTATTTTGTCATACCTGACATATAAATGTCAGTGTTTGATGTCAACATGGCATTAATACGTTGGCTTTCCAACTTTCCAACACAACCTAAAATCAACCAAATATCAACGTCATATGACATTGATACTGGACGCCAAAATAACATTGTCCTTAGACGCTGGCTAGACTTTGAATTTTGGTCACCTGACGTCACAACCTAAATCTAACCTAAAATTAACGTCTAATGACGTTGTGTGCCTGCTGGGGTATGGTGTTGTGCAGTTTTGTATTGTCCCAGCAGATACAGGATGTCAACATGATGTCATCAGAACCCAACATCAGGCTGACGTCAATGTCAAACGTCCAACCTGAAATCAACCAAATATCAGCATCTTATGACGTTAGAGCTTTACATTGTGTGGACGTTACCACTATTGACGTCTATTAGACGTTGGATTTTGGTTGCCATACCTGACGAATAAATGTCAGTATTTGACGTCAATATGACGTTGGTTTAAGATGTTGGCTCGACGCTGGATTTTAGTCACTTTCTAATAACCTAAAATCAACCAAACATCAACGTCATATGACGTCATAATTGGACATCAAAATATCGTTGTCCTTAGATGATTGCTAGACATTGAATATTGGTCACCTGACATCATGACTTAAATCTAACCTAATATTAACGTCTTATGACGTTGTGTACCTGCCTGGTATTGTGTTGTGTTTAATTGTATTGTGTTCTATTGTATGGTGTTGTTGTATTGTATTGTGTTGCGTTGTGCTGTGCTGTCTGTCTGCTGGACAGCAGGAAAGCACTGAACTATAACCTGCTGTCACACTGCAAGCAATGCTTTTCTTACTTAGATTTTAGGCTTGTTTCTAGTCCAAATATCTAAAAATTCTGAAATTCAGGTACATTTTCTAGACATGCAAAACAAATAGTCTTGATTTAAGCGATAATATGTCAAAATGAAGTGAGTTTTTTCTTTTGAACAAGCTAAATAATCTGCCAATAATCTTACGTCAAAAGGAAAAACCTGATTATTTTACTCCATTGGCAGATTTATCAGAACCCAACGTCAGGCAGATGTCAATGTCAAACGTCCAAACCTAAAACTATCCAAATATCAACATCTTATGACGTTAGAGCTTTACATTGTGTGGACGTTACCACTACTGACGTCTATTAGACGTTGGATTTTGGTTGCCATTCCTGACGAATAAATGTCAGTATTTGACGTCAATATGACGTTGGTTTAGGATGTTGGCTCGACGTTGGATTTTAGTCACTTTCTAATAACCAAATAGTCTTGATTTAAGCGATAATATGTCAAAATTAAGTGAGTTTTTCCTTTAAACAAGCTAAATAATCTGCCAATAATCTTACGTCAAAAGGAAAAACCTGATTATTTTACCCCATAGGCAGATTATTTAGCTTGTTTAAAGGAAAACCCCACTTAATTTGGACATATTATTGCTTAAAACAAGACACAGTTTGTTGCTTGTATAGAAAATGCTTCTTGATTTAAGAACTTTGTGATATTTGGATTAAAATTAAGAGTAAAACTCTGAGAAAAGCATGTTTTGCAGTGCAGACTGACAGAAACGCTGACCGACTGTGCTTTACTGGTGAAAGTGGGGGCACCATACTGACATTTTGAATGTCTCTTGTCAAAGTCTTATTTTTTACAATGTTTTCATAAATAAAGCTGCTTTTTATATTAACATTGAGTTGCTTTTTGTGGATCGAACTTTTTAAATATTGTAAAATAATTTAACTAGAGGCAACAAGGTGGCTGAGTGGTTAGCACTGTCGTCTCACAGCAAGAGGGTCACTAGTTCAAGTCCTGGCTGGGTCAGTGGGCACTTCTGTGTGGAGTTTGCATGTTCTCCCCGTGTTGGCGCGGGTTTCCTCCGGCAGTCCAAACACATGCACCATAGGTGAATTGAATAATCTAAATTGGCCATAGTGTATGAGTGAGTGTGTGTGAATGTGTGTATGGGTGTTTTCCAGTACTGCGTTGCAGCTGGAAGGGCATCCGCTGTAAAACGTATGCTGGATAAGTTGGAGGTTCATTCCGCTGTGGCGACCCCTGATGAATAAAGGGGCTAAATATGAATTCAAATAGAGTAGGCTTGCTTAAAAGGATAATTCACGCCAAAATAAAGATGCATCCACAATCTTCTCACCTTAGCTGTGGACTTACAGGTGAAATAAAATCTGTTTAGCTGGCTGCTAGCTCTCTGCAACTCCTAAATGGTCACCCACTGAAGCTAAGCAGGGCTGAATGGGCAACCAACCAGCAGTCCGTATGGGTCTTAATGCCCCAGTATAGTGATGGGGACTCTATACTGCTCAGCGATCGTCGTCTTTCGGATGAGATGTTAACCTGAGGTCCCGACTCTCTGTGGTTGTTAAAAATCCCAGGATGTCCTTCGAAAAAGAGTAGGGGTTTTTACCCTGGCATCCTGGTCAAATCTGCCCACTGGCCTCTGTCCATCATGGCCTCCTGACCATCCCCATGTCATAATTGGCTTCATCACTTATTCTCCTCTCGATTGTTGTGCGATCTGGCGCAATATGGCTGCCATCGCGTCATCCAGGTGGATGCAGCACACTGGTAGTGGATGAGGAGATTCCCCTTATGTGTAAACCGCTTTGAGTGCCCAGAAAATGTAAGGAATTATTATTATTATTTTAGATGTTATTACCAGTATGTTAGTTTTAACGAGATCTATATAAATAGTGTGCTCCAAAGCAGTGACAAAATTTGCGTTTGTAAGATATAAACATCTAAAGCTTGTAGTTGTCACTGATATAAACATCTAAAGCTTGTAGTTGTCACTTCAATCCAAATGGGACAATAATTTATTTCATGTCACCTCACACTTTAGTTTCTCATCAAAGCTGCTAAAATAAAAATTGGTGTTTTAAATTGAGAAAGTGGGCTATATGCACAGCTAGTATTTTTCAGCCAATTATGACCTTCGGTGGAAGCTTTATGTGGCTATTATCAATTTCATGAGATGACTTTTACAGCATCAATGTTGTAATGTAAATCAAATATAATCAGTTAACTTGACCTAATACGCATCCAGTTGGTTGTTAAAACGTAAAAAGAGACAAAAAACGTTTAAACGCAGGCGTCGTCAGCCACAGGCCAGCGCAGAAATTCCATTGAAAATACTGGGGTACAATTAATTTCCATATTTTATAGACATGGCTAGCAAAATATAATTTAATGCAGTGCTTCTTGTTAGGTCTGACACCCACTTTTTTTTATTA